TTTTCTTTATATTACAATACCTATTTTATTTTTATGATTTTTAATTATAAAATATTATTATTTAAATAAAAAAAAACCTTTAAAATTATAAAAATCTTCTTAAGAAATAGAATGTAATCCATTGTTTAGTAAATAACAAGCTATTTATTCAATAAAAATATCTTCGACTATTTTAATTGATTGCTTTTATTATATATATTAGTCTTATTATTCCAGATTACCTTATAAGGAGTTATTTATATAAATATTTTACTATATATTTTTTCTTCTAATAATTTTTTAAAATTCCATCTTTTTTAATAGCAAAGTTAGAATTAAATTAAAGTGATAAAATCTACTTGTCTTAATTTTTTTTATTAAAATGTTCTTCATATTAATTAATAAGATCATTAAAAATAGTTATATTTTCCAATTTTTATTTAATCAGTAATTCTTTTTATTTCAAAACAGATTTTTCAATTTAAATATTTTATTTTTTATCTTTTTTAATTATTTAACTTCTATTTTTTTTTAATAAAATATGCTTTTTATATATATATATACTTATAATATATATAAAAAATAAAACTATTCTTATTCTTTTTATTATTTTATAATTTTTCTAATTTTTTTAGCTCCTTTTCTCTTTTTATTATTTTATATTTAAACCTATTTATTTTTTATAATTTATAATAATTTTATAATAAATCTGAATTCTCTTTTGCTTAAAAGCCTAAAGACCTATTTTTTATATAGTCTACTTTTTCTTTTTTTTAACTAAATTCATATTTTAATAAACTATCAAAATGACTATAAATATTTTTTTTAGAAAAGTTCTATGGTGCTTCTTTAAAAAAATGAGATATAGTATTTATATCTGATCTTTTATTTGTAGTTATTGGCTTTACAATATTTTTAGTATTATTAAATATATCTGTATTCGTATTAAATATAGATTGACTGGTTGTTTTTGTTTTTTACAAAGTTTTATTTTCTATTTATTTTTTTAATTATGTGAAGTCTTTTTATATATTACCAAAATCAATCTTAGGTAATGAAAAACTTTTCTCCATATTCTTTTATGATTTTGGCTAAATTTAACTTTCACGCGCATTCGGGAACATTATATATATATTCTATTAAGCTATTTCCCTTTCAATATATATATATATATACATATATATTTTATTTTAATATTTAAATAAAAAATTAAATTTAAAAGTAAACTACCTTATTTTTAATGAACATTAGTTTTTAGAATTATTAATAAAATAACTATTACAATTACTTTTTTTTTTTTAAGTTTGCAATTAAATATTGTCATTTTTTTATTTAATAAGAATAAACCTTTGTATATTAAATTATGAATTAGAAATATTCAATAAATTAAATTTATATTTATTATTTTTAATCATTTATAATTTTTAGACTTTAAAATTATTAATTTCTTTTTTTTAGTTATTTTCTTAGTTTTCTGTTTTTTGTTTATTCAATTTTTTAATAATTCTTATTTGTTTTTGAAATAATAATAAAAAATTAATTAATCAATAAATAAAAAATATATATTATAAAATAAAATGATAAATATTTATTATTATTATTTTTTTTAAAAAGGCAATTATAATTTTGATAAATGTTATATGCCTTTAACAGTTATATTATTGAATAAACAAGAAAAACAGAATTTTATATAAAAAAAATAAATTACGAATAAAATAATCGATTTGGGTATACTAAAGTCATTCATTAAATACATAAAAAAAATATTTAAAATATAAATATATATAACATAAGTTAATAATCAAATATTTTATTGTTAAATACATATTTAAATATAAAACAATAATTAATTCATTTTATTTAATTATAAAATATTTTAAAAAATTCCTAAATATAAAAATAATAAAAGCAAAATATCTATAAAAAAAAAGCCATTATTAAATTTATTAAATATCATTATATACTATTAAAATAAAAAAAAAAATATTTATTAAACATTGTATAAATAAAAATGATATTATTACTATATATAATATTAAACCTAACAACAATTTTAATAAAATCAGAGCAATTAATATTCGAAGGTGACTGGACATTCCAAGATCAAATAAAAATGGACACCAATTAATAAAAAAAATTACAGTTTTCAAGCAAAACTAGTATAATAGACATACATTTAACAAATTTAAATGAAAAAGACAAAAAAATATAAACAAAAGAATTATGTTAAATATCTCATTCGAAAATAATACCTTTAGAAGAACCGAAAATATTATATAAAAGCAAAAACGATATATAAATAACTGACTTTTAGATATTTGGAAATAACATAATAGTTTTTTTACTTGAAAATAACCAAATAATATTCTAAAAGTTAAACTATAAAAATTAAGAAATAGCTTCTTTAATTATACACTAAGATCAAATTAAAGACGATTCGGAAATTTTTTAAATAAGAATAACATATATGAAGTAAGAAAACATAATAATTATTTACTAAACTAATGGTAAGTTTCTTTTTATGGAATTACCTAATAAATAATAAAATCAAACTTTTAGAAGAATATAGGACATTCCTGAAATTATTGAAGCTAAAAAAATAGCTTTCTTTGATAATTTATTGCATATAATCACTTAAAAAAATACTATTCTTATATATAAATTGAAAAAAATAAATAAAAATTAAATCATAGAATTAAAATCAAAAAAAATACAAGAAATAGAATTTGAAAATATAAACATAGTTGATTTTAAATATTATAAAAATAAATTAATTTTGCTTGATTTTGCTTAAGGATTTTCTTTTTGGGAAAAAAAAGAAGAAGTCTATTCTTAAATAGAATCTTTTAAAATTCCAGTTATAGAAGGTTTATTTTTTTAAATAAATCATGAAAGTGGTAATATATATGTAGTAACAAAAAGAAATGAAATATAAGAATATTTCATTGATTTAATAAAAAAAAATTTTTTTTAAATTTATAAACATGGCATTAAGATACTATATATAATATTTCTTGTGATTAATTTTAAAAATAAATATTTGTTAGTACTTTAGAAAATAACTAAAATTATTTTTAACCTGTTAACATACCAAAAAATAGTATTAATGACATAGAATAACATAAAAAAATAGTAAGACATGGAAAACATGCAATGGCTGTTAAATATTTAACAATGAAATAAGAATCAAATATAAAGCAGGGATAGATTAAAACAGAGCATTTTTATATTGCCTTAGTGGATAATTGGAAGCTAGAAATTCAACAGTATAATTATGCTAAGGACGAAATTATCTGTTCATCTTATGGAAATATAGAAAAAGAATATAAATATTTAGTTGTAATAAATGAACTCGAGTGTAAATAAAAAGACAATTATTTTCTAAATTAAAATGAAAAAAATACTTAATAATTTGAAATATAAAACTCTTTTTGTAAAGTTTAAAAAGTTTTATAATTTTAAGTTGATTTTACTAGAAAAGAATAAAAAGAATTCGAAATCGGAATACTTTTGTTAAGTTTGGTTATTGCTGTCGCTTTTGTTTGGTTTAAAGTTTATAAATAATAAAAATTTTAATAATTAAATTACTTATCTAAGCATTTAAATACTATAAATAATACTATGGAAAAAAAAAGAATTACTCTTATATATGAAAACATATCTACTGTACCTTTAAAAAAATCTATTTGAAATTATTTATGATAAATATATACATATCTTTTTTTATAAAACTGTATATTTAATTTAGATATTTATTTAAAAAAAAAAGATATAATTTTTTTTTATTACTATTTAATTTAAAAGTATTTTAATTTCTATATACTTATATTATTTTTTTTTATAACTAACATTTTTAAATTATATATAAGATAACTTTTTCAAAACTTTTTTAGCAATTTATTATAACAAAGTTAAATTTTAATGTTTTAAATAATCAAGTTATAATAATATTTATTTAATAAAAGAAAATATTATTTATGGTTTTTAATTTTAATTTCTATCTTTTTTATTTTTTTTAAAAAAAATTATATTCAAGTTAAAAAATATTTTTTTGTTATATATATAAATAACATGCACATACATTAAATTTTTAATTTTTAAAATATTAACGCTTGATGAACAAATGATATTATATTAAAAATTTATTTCTAAAAATAAAATAATTATAGAAAAGAAAAATATATAATATTTATAATTATGAATACAAAATAATTATAATAAAATATAAATTTATAGGATTCATATATATTTATATATATATATATATATATATATATATATATATATTTATATAAGATTTAAAGTAAATTTTTTATTTATATATATATAAATATTTTTATATTTTTCTAAATATATATTTTTATTTTTAAATGTCATTTTTTAATAAGATTTTTTTTTTATGAAATATTTTTTTTTTTTACTTATTTATATATATATTTATTATTATTCACGTAAAAAAAAACACTTTATATATTTATTAAACTTTATCATTCTTATTAAAAATATTTTATTTTTATATAAAACTAAGTAATTATTAATCGACTAATATTTTATTGTATGATATAAAATATACAATTAAAATTTTTTTATTATCTTTTTAACTTTTTATTTTTTAGTTTTTTATAAAATATAAAATATTTTTTTTAAATAATATAGCTATAATAAATTTTAAGAAAAAATTTATTAAGGTATTTTTTTTAATTAATTATTTTAAAAATAAATACAAAAAACTATTGTATAAAACTATTATAAAATTTTTTCTTATTAAATTATTAATAATTAAAAAAAAAAAAAATAGCCTTAAACATTTTTTAAATATTACATATATATATATATTTTATAAGTTTGTTTTTTAATTTAAAGACTTTTATATTTTATTTTATAAATTAATTAAATAAAATAAATAATAATTGAAAATTTTGCAATTTCAAGCAGAAAAAAAAGATCTTTTATTATACAAAAATAAAAGCGATTCTTATAATTAATTAATACTAAAAACTAGTAATTTCATAAACAATTTAATGATCGAAAATATTACGAATTAATTATAAAATATCTAAAATTAAAAATATATAATATTAAAAGATTTATCTTCAGTAGATACTTTAATAAAAATAAAAATTTATAAATAGATAACAATAAAATAGATTAAATAAACAATATAATAATATACTGGAGCTAATTTAAATAGCATTAAGCTAATATATAAACAAACAATATTGTCAAATAATAATTAATCAATAAATTTAGATTAATTAAAATAATAGGAATAATATTTTTATTATATTATAAAGCCTAAAAAATAAAAAATAATAGGTAAAATATAATCATATAACTTTAGAGATAAAATTTAAAGGGAGATTAATTATGCTATAACAGAAATAAGAAAAGGATTAAATTAAAATATAAATCCGAAAATAACAGATTCTGGAATATCTGGAAGTTATTTTATAGAAAACTAAAGAAGAAAAAAAATTGCTATTTTTAAACCTTTTGATGAAGAGCCTTATACACCAAACAACCCGAAAGGATATGTAGGTATAATTTTAAATTTTATATTAAAGATATAGTAATTTGTAATTAAATCATATTTTAACATTTATTTTGATATATAAATATATATTATATTAATTTATATTAAATTATTTTAATATAATTTAAAAAAAATATAAATTGATATTTATTTTAAAATAATAATTTTAATATTTTATCAATTATATATAAATATATAAATATATAAATATTTATATTTTTAATTTATTTAATTATATTTAATTTATTTTTCATATTTTTAATCTTTTAATCATTTTTAATATAATAATCTAATTTTATATTTTCAATATTTATTATTATTTTAATTCTTAATTAATTTTTATTTAAATATAATTTATTTTTTATTTATTTACTTATTTTTTTTTAAATAAAATAAATATTATTATTTATTTATAATATTTTTATATATTTAATAAACAAAAGGATAGTTAGGATAAGAAGGTATTAGAAAAGGAATAAGAAGTGGTGAATAATGTTTTAGAGAAATAGCAGCATATTTATTAGATTATGATAATTTTCATAATGTACCGCCTACTATTTTTGTTGAATTTTTTCATCCTTTTTTTAAATGTGATAAAATTTAAATAAACTAAATTTAAACCTAATTATTTTAAAAAAGAAATAATTTCTCTTCATATTAAGAGAAACATACAAAATTTGGTTCTTTATAACTTTATGTTTAGCATGATGATGAAATAGGAAATTATGGAAACTGCATATTCTCAATAGATGAAATTCATAAAATATCTATATTAGATATAAGAATTCTTAATTGTGACAGAAATGATTAGAATATTTTAGTTAAAAAGACATTTAAAAATAGTAATAAAATTAAAATTAAAAAAATTAATAATTATAATTAGATATTTAAGATTAAAACGAAAAAATGAAATATTCTTCTTATGATTTCTAATTAATACCAATAGATCATGGATTATCTCTTCCTGAAATTTTAAATATTTAACAAGATTGCATAAATTGGATGTATTGGGAATAAAGTTAGAAAAAACTCTCAAATAAATCTCTTGAATTTATAGAAAAAATCGATATTTTAAAAGATATGAAGGCATTAGAATAATAATTTAATTTAAATGAAGAAACTTTAAAAAATTTCCGAATAGCAAATACTTTATTAAAAATAGGAGCTAAAAATGGTCTTTCATTATACCAAATCGGATAGATTTTATACAGAGAAGATGAAGATTAGGAATCATAAATAGAGATAATTGCTAAAATAGCATAAATATGTAAAAATGCAAGTCAAGAAAAGGGAACAATCAATTATTTATTATAAACTATTGAAAATTAAAATAAAAGTAATTTTGAAACGTATTTTTAAGATTTAGAAAAAGAAGATTAATATTTTTTATTTGATGATAAGTAAGAAACCTCTTTTATTAAAAGAATAAGCTACGACTCATTATCTATGATAAATTAATTAAAAAAAAAATAAAAAGATGTATTTCTTTGCCTTCAATTAAATTTTCTAATAACAATGAAAATTATATTTTAAAGAATCCCAAAATTAAATAAAAGATTACCCAATGTAATTCAATTGAATTAAATATGTTTACTAGTGCAAACAATAATGAAAGTAAAAAAACTAATAAATATGATGAAATTTATTTCCATTATATTGAGTAATTAATTGAAATGCATATTTAAAAAAATATTCATAGTTAAAATTTTAAAAATTAAGTTAGATAAATTTAAACTTGCGATAATTGAATTATTTAATAAATAAAAGATTTTATTTTTACTAAATTTTTTTTAGTATTAAGTTATTATTTTTATCATTAAAATATTTTATTTTATTTATACTTAATTTATCAATATGCATTTTTAGTACTTTATTTTATATTTTATTTATAAAATTAGAAAAAACAAAATATTAAAAAATTTTATATTTAATATCTTTTTTATTGTTAATTTTTTAAAAAATGAAAAACTTCATATTTAAATATAAAAAGACATTAGGAATATCTTTAATAAGTGGCTTATATCTATAAAATAAAAATTAAGATACTATATATATGCAAGCAAAAAAAGGAATTTAAAAAACAAAAACATTTATATGGGGAAATGGTATATATTAACCTCGTCCAGAAGCCACATTATAATTTAAAAATTTTGAACCAAAACTAATTGAGGATTTTTAAGGTTAAAAGAATGGCATCAATTTATAAGAAAGTAAAAAAAAATACATATAGACTTATAAATATTTTTTTAAAAAAAGTAATTTTTACTGAAAAAAACGAATTTGGAATTGATATAAATGGTCAAATATATGTTTGGCCTACTTAAAAATTAGATGCAAATTTTTCAGGAGATCCAAAGGATAATAGACGTGAAAAAATTTAGCAAATAACAACCTAAAAAGAGGATACGTTTACCCAAATATGTACTACATAAAGTTATTTATGGGCTTTGAATTAAAAAGGAGAAGTTTATCAATGGAATATCTAATAACAAAAAGAAGGTTAATAGTAAATTCCTATAGTTGATATAAAATCAAAAAAAAAATTAACATCTTTGTCAGAGAAGATTAAACAAATATCATCTGGTGAAGACCATCTATTATTTCTAACATAAGCAGGAGATATATATACTTTAGGAGATGATACATATGGACAATGCGGTTTGGGTGCAAGCAATAGGGTTCCTTGTCCTCCATTTAAAGAAAGAAGAGTAAAAAATCCTCGTAAAGTAAACGCATTAGATGCTAAAGTGGTAAAAGTAGCATGTGGTAAAAATCATTCATTGGCAGTAACTCAGGAAGGAAATTTATATGGATGGGGATTAAACTAAAACATGTAATTATCCTAAGAATTAGAGTTCTCGAAAGGTGAGGAACCATTAGTTTGCTTATATGAGCCTTTATAAATTAAAAAAAATTTGGAATTTTCAAAAATTGTAGATGTAGCAGCTGGAGAAGCCCATACTATGATTGTCAGTGTGAACAGATAAAACGAAGAAACTGAAGTTTTTGGATGCGGATATAATAATAAAGGAGAACTTGGAGTAGGACTCTTAAGACATATATGCGATGTGGAAAAAGTTGATGGATTATCAAATTTTAAAATATAAGATAAAGACGGGCAATATAAAAATGTTAGGATTAAAAAAATAGTTTGTGGAGATAGACATTGTTTGGCTTTAATTGATGAGTTAGGTGTAGTTATGGAATGGGGTGATAATGAAAACGGATAATTGGGAAATAAAAAAAGAGCTTTTACGGAATTTCCAGTGATCTAATAAAAATTTAAAAATGAAAAAGTTCTTAATGTTTGCGCTGGGGAAAATAGTAGTGCTGTTATTTGCGAAGATTCAAAATGATTTTAGGATTTCTATATTTTTTTGTTTATTTTTTTAAGGTTTATCTTTTATTTTATACTTAGTTTTGATGTTGAAATTTTTAATATTGATTTTTGTTTGTTTGTTTTTTACTTTAAATTAATTTTGTTTTTATATATTTAAAATTAATCTTTATTAAAAAATATTTTAGATTTATAATATTTTATATATATATAATACTTAAACTATTAATTAAGTATTATTTATTTATTTATGAATTAATTACTTTTAATATCCATATATTAATTAAATAAAATTATTTTCTTTATATAATTATTAATTATAATGAAAATCTAATCGATTATATAAATAAATTCGTCTACATAATTTAGTTAAACAAAAAAAAATAGCAAAATATAATATATAAATATAAAAATATAAAATAAATTTCTAAAAAAAATAAACAAAAAGCACAAAATTTTAATTTTTTTTATAAATAAAAAAAGTATAAAAAAAAAATGAGTAAAATAAATTTAGACGCTTTATTATGCGGTGTAAATCCCATATATAATTCCACAACTTTTTCAAAATAAAAAAACTTGTTTTACTACACATGCGCAAACAGCATAATTGTATCAGATTTAGAAAATACAAAAAATTTATTTTCTTTAAACCACCATAAAGAAAGGGTAAATTTTGTACAAACTATCAATAACTTCAACGGCAGAGAACTTCTCTTATCTGGAAGTGTAGATACTAAATTAATATTATGGCAATGTGCCGAAGATTCTTTAAAAATCATGAGAAATGGGAAATAATACACGAATTTGACCTTGAAAATTCCGTTTAATTTTGCAGTATATGCGAATATAAAGAAAATGAAGTATATGTATTAGCAGGAAATATAATGGGAGATGTGTTTTTGATAAAAATAACAGATGATAAGAAACAAATTTTAGACCGAATTAAATTCGGAAGTCATTTTACATAAGAAACTTCAAGGATGATAAAGTTAGATGATAAAAATTAAATATTAATATTTTTTGGAGGTCTTGACTTTTCAGTTCATGTTTATTTATTTGACCTTTAAACCAAATACAATAAAAAAGGCGATTTTTTTAATTATAAAATTAGTCTAAGAGGCCATGAAAATGCAATTACTGACATAAAAATTTTATATGAAAAAGAAAACAATTAATGGATAATTGCAAGTTCATCAAAAGATTCATATATTCGTCTTTGGAAATTTTCTAAAGGAGGATAAGAAGCTAAATTATCAGAATTTCAAAATAAAGAAATACAAAAGTTTGACTTAAACAATGAAGAATATTTTATTTCTTTAGAAAGTGTTATAAGCGGACATAATGAATCTGTTGTAAGTTTAGATTGGGGATTTTATAATGAATAAGTTGTTTTACTTTCTGCTCTTTTGATTTTAGTATCCTTATTTGGGTTAAAGATTAAGATACAGGTTTTTATTTATTATTTATTTTTATTTTATTTTTTAAAAAAGGTATTTGGATTAGTATGTAAAGATTAGGTTAAATTACTGGAAGTAAATATGCTTTTTTTAATGCTAAATTTTCAAATGATTATTAAATGATTTTCGCTTATACATATACTGGCTCCTTTTATTTCTGGAAATTTAATAAAGAAAAAGCTTAATGGGAAAATATCCCTACTGTAACTGGACATTTTAATGAAGTTTATGATTTAGATTGGAGTAGTAAAGGAATTTTTTTGGGATCATGTGGACTCGATTAAACTACTAGAATATACACTTAAAGTTTAGAACAAAATACTTGGCATGAAGTTTCAAGAGCTTAAGTATTTTATTTTTCAAAAAAATGAATTAGTTATTTTATAAAATAATAGATTCATGGATATGATATAAATAGTTTAAAGTTTTATCCTGTTAATCTTAAAGATAAGGATATTTGCGATAATTTGATTTGCGGAGCAGATGAAAAAGTTGTAAGAATTTTCGAACCTCCTGCCGCTTTAGTAAATGCAGTAAATTAAATGTCCAATTAAAGCCTACATTTATATTTTGATAATGAAGAATAAGAAAAATAATATTTTGATAGTAAATAATTAGAAAAGGGTATTATTGAATATTAAGTTACTTTAGAAGGTATAAATATATATTAATATATTTTAATGATAAAAATATTTACATTTTTATTTTTTAAAAAGGTGGATAATAAGTTTTAGGTTTAATGACCAAAGCTTAAAGAATAGCATAAGATTTTAATCCTAGCCAGTATGTAGATCCGGAAGATGAAGTGGGCTTAATAGCTGATAAAATCTAATAAATAGAAGATTAAAAATTAGAGGCAGAATTCAATAAATAAAAAGTAAAATAAAATGAATTATAAATAAATAATTTATAAATAAAAAAAAAACAGCATGATTTCAAAAAAGCTCCAATAGAAGATTATTTAGTAAAACATACATTATGGCCTGAGTTAAATAAATTATATGGTCATGGATATGAAATAAAATGTACAACATGTAGTCATGATGGTTAACTAATAGCAAGTTGCTCAAAAAGTTAAACTAAATAACATGCAAGTGTAATATTTTGGAATCCTTAAAATTATTAGATTTATGCAAAACTTGAGTATCATAATTTCACAATAAACTAAATGGAATTTTCTTAAAATGATAGTTTTTTCGCCACTGTATCTAAAGATAGACAAATAGCAGTGTTTAAAAAAAACGTTGACGAATAAAAAAACAACCAGTTAATATTTAATAATCCATACTCTCTTTTTTATGAAGATAAATCTCATTCTAGAATTATTTACTCTTTAAACTTTTCTTTTGATGGAAAAATATGTTGCTACATCATCTAGAGATAAAAGATTAAAATACATTCTCTTGAAAATAAAAAAGTCGTTTTTACAAAACTTTTTGATTAAGCTCCTACTGCTGTTGCTTTTGCACCTTAAATTATAAAAGAAGGTGTTTATTTTATTGTTTTAGGATTTGAAAATGGAACTATAGAAACTTTCCAATTCGATTCTTTAAATTTATAATTGAATTGTTTTGAAAAGGTTCACTAAAATTTTTCACATTCTAATATTGTGTAAAGAATTAAATTTAGAAATTATTCAGACTTAAATCGATTTAAAATACTTTAATTTGCAACATGTTCTAATGATTATAGTGTTAGAATATATAGTTTGAATATTTGAAAAAATATAAAATATATTTATAAATTCAATTTAAATAATTTTTTAATTTTTTTGTTTGCTTTTGTTTAGAAAAAATAAAATACGTATTTATAATTATTTATTTTTTTAAATCAACATATACTATATTAATGTTTATATATAGAAAAAAATTCTATTCATTTTTTGATTTACGTTAATTTTCTAGTTGATTTGTTGGATTGAGCTTAATTATTTCTTGAGATTTTTATAATATCATTAGAAAAGTAACTCTACTATTTAAAATTTTTAGATAATTTTAATTGTTTGTTTGTGTTTTCAATTTTTTTCATTAAATTTTCTTTTCTACTACCAATATCTTCTTACTATTTTATATTTTAAACGTTTTTATTAGCATTGTTTAGTTCTAAAGGCATATCATTATATTTTTAAAAGGACTACATTTTTTGATATTTACAAAAATTTTAAAAGCATTCAACTAAAACCTTTTTGTTATATGTTTTTGTTTTTGGAAATTAATAATATAAATAAAATAACAAAAAAAATTTTACATTATGTATATTATGAATATTTATATTATTATTATCACTTTTGTTATTATTAATACTATTATTTTTTTAAGGATTTTTTTTTTCGGTCTAATCATAATTAATAAATATTTATAAAGAATAATTTATAAATGTAAATGGTTTTGTATTTATTTTATAGCAAAGTTACTTAATAAAATTATAATTTAATGAATTATCTATTTGTTCATATAAACTTAATAATGAATAAGAATCTCTATTATATATCTCTTGACACTATTAACTATTAAAATAATTATCCGTGTGTTACATTATTAAATATAAAAGAAATGAATATTTTATTTAAGAGCCTATTTTAAGAATTGAATTTAAATCATTTATATAATTCATATTATCAATAGTTTTATTTAAAAAAATTATTAAATCTTCATTTATTATTAATTAATCAAATAAAGATTAAGTCAAATAAAATGATTTAATATCTTTTTTAATTGTAAATTTATTATACATAATAAAAATATTTCTTACCTAAAATAAGCTTTATTGAGGATTTTCTTGGAAAATGGTGTTTATTTATTCCAAACAATTACTAAAATAAATAAAAGGCAGGATTTTCTTCCATTTCATATAAATATTCTACTGTTTCTTATATTATTTAAAATTATATATGTTATTAAGTTCCTAAACTTAAAATATATTCCATTAATAATTCCGCTGAATTTAAATTAGTATTAAAATTTTCATATTTTAATTAATCGAAAAAGTCAAATAAAATCTTACTTTTTTCGGATTCAGGTAAATTAATTTTTTGAGTTTTTCTATATTTTTTTATATTTAAGTGTATTTTTTTATAAAATTAATTACAATATTTTATTATAAACAAAAGCCGTTATAAAAGGGTGTGAATTCAAAACTTATATTAAACAGCTTTCATCTTTTATACTGAACATATTAAATTATCTTTATTTATTTTATTTAATTCATTTTATAATTATTTTAATTTTTTATAAAATAATACTTTCTTAAATTCAAGCAATATTATTGAATATCTTTTTATTAATTTATCATGTAATTTCCTGTCTAAAATAATTTTTCTTAAAACGTATTTATACTTTAAATATTATCATTTTAAACATTATTAATGCACATTTATATTTAATTAATAGAATTCGACATTAATTAATATTTCTCTTCATTATTATTAACATCAACTATTTCTTCTATTTTATCCTTCAGATCTTTAATATCTTATTAAAATCTATTTTTCTGATCAATATTTTTAATCTAAAGTTATTTATTTTATTTTTATAACTACTCTAGTTATTATTTTAATTAAGTAATTTAATTTACTTAATCATTAATTACTTATTCAAGTTATTATATACTTTATATATGTTTTGTACATTAATCTTATATTTATTGATTAACAATATCTTAAAGTTTTTAGTAATTTTAATTTAAGAATAAACTTAAAAACCTCCAGATATATTCAATAAAAAAGACTAAGTTTTAATTATTATTTGATGCTTATTAAGTTTTAACTATAATTGAAGGTAAATAATTATTTATAGTTTCTTTTAAAATTTAAAAATGTTTAACATTAATATTCGAATTACAGTTTTATAATTATGAAGTTATTTAATTTTCGATATCATTTATTATTTACATTAACTAAAATTCTAGTTTTTAATATAAATTATTAGTTTTTAAGTTTTAACTATTATTTTAATTGTTAAAATTTAAATAATTAACTTCTTCTAAATTTTATAAAAGTTATGAATAATTTTGATTCATATTTTCATTTTTATTAAAAAGTAAGCTATTATTTCGTATAATTTTAGAAAACTAATCATTTATTTATTCATAACTTTTAGTTTTTTATTTTTGTTCATTTGATTTCTATTATAACAACGAAATATTTATTTAAGTTTGATTTTTAGAAATTTAATTATTTTATAAATCATCACTAGAATCATTTATAAAATGTTTTTATTTCATCGAAACATTTTTATTGAATGAATTATGATTACTTGTAAAAGTACGGTTTTAATTTAATGTCTATAAAGAATTGTATAGAATTTTGTTTTTATTATCTTCTATAAATTTAAATCTAGTTTTATAAAATTTATTATATTTTATATTTTTATCATTTTTTTTATTAGTTTAATAAACTAAATCTTTATTATATATTTATTTAAATTTATCTAATAAATAGTTATTTTTTAAGTTTGGCTCTATTTAAGTACTTTATTATTATATTGTATTTTGTTTGATCTTATAATTTTAATTATACAAATCTTGAAAATTTTAAATCATAATGTACTTTTTTTTTTTGAGAATATACAAGTTTTAAAAATAATATATTAAAATATAAATATTTAATTTAAATTATAATAAAAATCGTTTTTGTTTATTTAATTAAATTAATTGCTATTAATTATAATATATTAGATTTTAAGTTATTTTCTTATATAAAAATATTATATTTTTTATGTTTTTATTCTAATATAGTGAATAGATTTTTCATTTCATATAATTGATTATTGATTTAGATTAACTGCTTTTTATATCTAAAAATTGCTAAAAAATATAAATACTCAATTAAGAAAAAATATTATAAGAAATAGTTTAATTCATAATTTATCTTTGATAACCATTATTTTATTAAATATGTTATTTAAATATAAATATTGATATGATTTTTTTTTTATTTTAATATTAACTTATAAAATTATATATAAAAATTAATATTTTTAAAAATAAAATGTAAGATTTCTTAATTTTACATATATATATATATATTTTTTATTCTAAGAATATTTATTTTAAAAGTGAATTATTTAATGTATTTAAAAAAATTATAAAGTCAAAAAAACGCAATATAATATACTTATCTTATATTTATTTTTATTATATTTAATATAAAAAATATATTTTCATCTGCCATATTTTTGATAATCCCATTATCTAGAATCTAAAGGACAAGTTTATCTTGTTTTTAACCAACGAGAAATGCAATGAAAATGAAAAGCATGATTACATACACCCCAAGCAACATCACATTCTGATGCAGCTGTAGAATTTTAATTTGCATCACATTCAATGCATGGTTCCATAATATTGCTTTTATATTTAGTTTTTTAATATATTAAATTTATATATTTAATAATTATTAAATTTGTTTACTTTTTACAAATTGCACAATTTTCAACTTCTATATCCCATTACCATAATGCTACTGCATTCCATTTTTTAACTTCAAATCTTTTTTCAGGTTAAATATCCATATGTTTATTTTTTATAAATATTATATTTATAATTAAAAAATTTATAATTATTGGAAAAAAAAATATTTTTATTTAGAAAAATCAATTTTATAGTTAATTTAGTGTATCTCAAATTAAAATTAATTATTTAAAAATAGATATGTATTTAATAATAAAAAATTTTTATAAAAACTAAATATTTATTAAATAAATAATTTGTATATATATATAAATTATAATATAATTCTTATATTATTTAATATCGTAAACTGTTATATGAATGGTTTATAATTATTTTTTATTTTTATTATATAAAGAATTTATATTTAATTATAAAATAAATTAATCGATAAATTTAAAAATTGAAAATTTCAATATAATTTGTATAATAATTTATTTGATAAGTTCATATATAATTTTATATCCTTTATTTTCAATAAATCTATAATAATTGTTTTTTGAATTTATATTTATTATTAAAATTTTATGAAATCATTATTTATGTTATTTCAGTTAAGAATAAAGTCCTTAAATAACATCTTAATAAATTTATTTTGCTTTATTTCTCTTTATTTTATAAGTATTTGTAATGCAATCATTAGTAAAAAAGCTATTTGATTATAAGTGTATAGCTGCAGGGATTTCATATTTTTTAAGATTAAGTAAAGATATTCCTTATTCTTAAATTTTATTAAGATAAAACTGTTTTACTTTTTCATCATTACATAGTAATTATAAATTATCTTAATGATATAAATTCTAATCAGTAGCAAATTAAATTAAATATTATTTATTAGGTACTAAAACACATACAATTTCTTAATTAGATTGATCTCCATAGATAAATATCTCTTATACTTCTTTTATTTTACAAAAAAGGTTTTCAAGCATTTCTGGAAAAATAAACTATCCATTTTTAAGTTAGAAAATATTTACAATTCTATCTATATATTATATAGACCCATTCTAACACATTGCTATTATATCTCCTGTATGAAACCATCCTTCTTTATCTATTACTTTTTGAGTTTCTTCTGGTTAATTATAATAACCAATAAATAATCCATTTCCTCTTATACATAATTCCCCTATAATTATTTAAGCATTTTCTTCATATTATTATTTTTCCTTTAATAAGCTTTCTAAGTTGAACTAAGTCTATTTCTTTATTTTAAACTCGAAATTTCCTCTTATACCTCCCAAATGATTTACTTACGGATCATTTGCATATGAAGTAAAGCAAGTTCCACATGTTTCAAATAAACCATATCCTATTTATTTATTTTTTAATTTTAAATATATTTTTTATAAATAAACCTTGAGCAAAAGGTATACAAAAAACAGATTTTAAAAAATTTAAAATATCTCCATTTATTGGTGCTGCTCCAACTCCACATAATCTTAATTTTCCTCCCAAACTTTAAATATATTTACCGAAAATGAGTCTATCCCATATGGTTGTTTAGAAATCGCCCGTATTTTTTACTTTTTCCAGTTTATCATCTAAAGCTTTTTTGGCAATCATTTTTTTGGTATTACCCAATTGATTTAAGTCATTATTAATATAATCATAAAGCTATTCAAAATGATAAGGGCTACTTGCCCAAATAGTAGGTTTTAATAATTTAATATCATTATATAAAGTTTCAATCGTGCTGTGATCTGCAAAACCTATTCTTCCACCGTAGGCCATAATTACATTTTACATTTACCTTTCAAACATTATGTGGAATGTGTTATGACTTATATATATATCATTCTTATTTATTTTTTCATTTTCAAAAGTTGTAATTGTAGATAATATATTTTTATGTGTTAACATAACTCCTTTTTATTAACCTTATTTTTTATATTTTTAATTTAAATTAAATATTTATTTTTATTTTAAACCTGTTGTTCCTGGAGTATATATTATTGTGAAAACATCATCTTGTTATACTTTTTAATATTATATGTTCATTTTTTTTCCTGAATTAATTATCTATTTTAAAGTATATATATTAAATTTGCTTTCGCCTAATAGTTCTCTAAGTTGACTATCTTACTATGAAAATAAAACGAGATTTTTTAATTTATTAACATTTTAGCATTATAGTATAACTTAAGCTTATTTTTCAGAGCAAAAAATAGTTTCTAAATTTGTTTCTTCTAGAATATATTAAAGTGTATTTTATTTAGCTGACTCATCTCTTTTTTTAATGTTTTTTATTATTGTTTTTATATATATGATATAATAAAAATGTACATTAATACAGTAGTAAAGTTATATAAATATGAAGCATATTCTAAAAGTAAGCATTCTTCCCTTGAATTAGAAAATATTCCTATTAAATCGAGTGATTTTATTATCTATATTTAATTTTAGCATGTTTAAAGGCTTAAATTTAATATACCACTTCCGATAAAAGTACCAAATTTTAAGCAATCAGAATATGTTTTCCAATAATATTTATTACTTTTTTAATCTTTAGTTCCTAATAATTTTTAAGAAGAATAGTTTTTTTATGTATTTTGAAGAAATAAAGTTTGCATAGTTTTTATTTTTGGATCTGGATAACATGTTAGACTTTTACTTATAAATTCTGGACGTCTGTATATTTTTTACTTATCCTCTTCATTTATTGGTTTCGAATATATAATTATTTTAGAAGAGTAATTCCCCATATATTTTTTTTTTATTTTTTTGGTTATTTTGTTAAATTTATTAAATATATTGTATAAAATGTAAATTTAATAAAATCAGTTTTATGTTTGATTATTAGCTTTTTAATTATTTTATAATAAAATTTTTTCATAAAATATAATTTTATTTGAATATTATTAAATAAATATCTTAAATTTTATTTATCTTTTTTTATTGTTTTTTTACTATAATAATAAAAAAAATTATGATAACATTAGGAATAGAAGGTTCAGCAAATAAAATTGGAATTGGTTTATTCTTATTTTATTTATTTTTTTTTAAAAAAAAACTAAATCCTAATAATATACTTTAAATATAAAATAAAGGCATAGTAAAAGAAGATGGAACAATTTTAGCTAATCCCAAGACAACATTTATTACTCCACCAGGTATAATAATCTATAAAATGCCTATCTAAAAAATTATTTATAAAATCAAATAAAGGAACCGGGTCTTAGACCAAATGAAACAGCAATTCATCATAGAGAAAAAATTTTAGGTTTAATTGATGAAGCCTTAAAAGAAGCTAATTTAACTTTGAAAAATATAAGTATTATAAAATAAAATTTAAATACAAAAAATTAAAAAAAATAAAAAATAAAAAAGAATTAATAGCATATACAAAAGGACCAGGAATGGGTCCTCCTTTAAGCATAGGTGCAATAGTTAGCCGAACATTAAGTTTATTACATAATATACCATTAATAGGAGTAAATCATTGTATTGCACATATTGAAATGGGTAGATTAGTAACAGGTATAAATCATCCAACAGTATTATATGTATCAGGGGGAAACACATAGGTAATTTCTTACTCAAGTAATAGATATAGGATATTTGGAGAAGCTTTAGATATTGCAGTAGGTAATTGTCTTGATAGATTTGCAAGAATTATTAATTTGTCAAATGATCCTGCTCCAGGATATAATATTGAATAATTAGCTAAAAAAGGCAAAAAATTTATTTAAGTACCTTATACTGTAAAAGGAATGGATATGAGTTTTTCGGGTATTTTAAATTTCTTTGAAGATATTGTACATTAATATCCTCATTTAAATTATGATGAGACCGAAAATTATAAACAAAATTAAAATTACGATGATGAAAATAGAAAAAGGAAGCTTATTAAAAAAAAAATTTCAAATAAAAAAAGTAGATTTTCTTAAATTATTTTCATATATTTTATTTTAAAATAAAATATAAAAAGTTTAAAATATACCAAAAGATATTACTAGAGAAGATTTATGCTATTCTTTATAAGAAACTATTTTTGCAATGCTAACTGAAGTTACTGAAAGAGCTATGGCTCATTGCAATTCTAAAGAAGTTATTATTGTCGGAGGTGTAGGTTGTAATTTAGGATTATAAGAAATGATATAAGAAATGGTGAAATAAAGGTTTTTTTTTATTAATTAAATAATAAACTTTCGATATAAATACATATATTTACTAAATAATAGAGGGGGTTAAATTGGTGCTATGGATCATAGGTATTGTATTGATAATGGTGCTATGATTGCTTATGCTGGATTACTTGAATACTAATCTGGTGGAAGGATGGATTTTAAAGACTCTTATTTTACTTAAAGATTTAGAACAGATGAAGTATACGTTTCTTGGAGAAAAGACTGAATATTTGTATTTATTAATATATTTTTTATTTATTTATTTGAAAAATATTAATTAATGTTTTTAGAAAATATTGTTTGTTCAATTTTTTTGTTAAAAATAAATAAATTTAAAAAACATAAAAATTTAAAAATAATTTATTTGTATTAAATCATTCATTATTTTATTTTCCTTATTAATTTTATAAAAATAAATCATTATATTTTCCAAATTTACCAAAAGAAGTTTATGCAAATTACTTTTATTTTTAATTTATTTATAATTTATTTTATTCATAATTTCGGAATGATTAAGCATTTTAAGATTCTTAATGTTATTATTATTATTAATTTTTTATATAATTATTGTTTTATTAATTTTATTTTTACTAATAACCTAATTAATTAATTTGAATTTATTTAATTTAAAATTTTTTCGTTTTTTAACTTATTTAAGTTTCAATCATATTTTGATTTTTTGATTCTTATTCATTATTTGTATGACTATTATTAATTTATTTATCTTTATTATTGTCATTTTGTGAGAATTAATTTAATTTTTTTTATCAATTAATTTCTGACTTTTCTTATTATTTTTAGTTTATTTATTATAACTAATTTTATTCACTATAGTTTTATTTTATTTTTCAATAGCATTATATATTCCTTTTGAATTGTTTCTTATTTTATTTATGTCTTAATTTTAGACTTTTATAACTTAAACTGTTTATGTAGTATTTGTTTATTATTATTATTAATTATTTTATTATTATTACAATCTCAAAGCTGTATTTTTAGCTAATTTTTATAATTGTAAATATCTATTGTTTTAACAGCCTAATAAAGTATTATAAGTACTGTTTATAGGTAATTTTATTATTGTCCCTTTAAAAATTAAATCAAACCCACCAATTTATTCTTCTTAACCAGTTAAACTTTAAATAAAAAGGATTATTAAAAAATGTAAATATTTATAATAATACATTTTTCCATATCAATAATTGTAAAAACATCATCTAATAAATTAATTTTCAATTCACTATCTGCTTAAGTATTAGCTGTCATAGAGGGACTTAATTTAATATATTTTATATTGTTTAAATAAATATTTTTTTTTTTTTGTTAAAATTAAAATATAATTAATTTTAAAATAAAACCTTGAGTTTACCTCTAAAAGCCATGGTTTTAAATTAGAATCTAAAATAATATCGAAACCGTACAATTCAAAGCATCTTTTATCATTAATCATAACTTTTTGAACTGCTTAAAGGGCCTTTATAATTATACTTTATACCTAATAAAAAGCTTCATCTACTTTTTCTTATCCATATTTAGAAATCATTTACAATTTAAGAGTCTATAATAACCATTTTCCTCCTAACTTTTAATCATAATTTTCAGAAGTTTTTTGTATAGCAACATTAGTTAAATGTACAACTTTTTATTTATAAATAAAGATAATTTTTTTATTATTATTATTACAAGCATTATTTATATCATCAGTATCATATCTATAATGAGTAAATCTAGCAAATCCAGTTCTATATAAATATATACTCAAAGGTTGATAATTTGTGCATAATGCATATATTCGCATATCAAATTTTTTTCCTCCCATTAGAAGAGGATCACTTATATATCTTTAAACTACATAAGAGCCTGCCTATATTAATTTATTTATAAATAAAGTAATTAAATTAATATTTCGAATATACTGAAGGGTTTTCAGGATTATAACGGTTTGCATTCTTCCATTGTGATATTTCTTTGAGGTTTCTAAATATAAAAATACCTTTTCCTTATGACTTAGCAATCTTTATTTATATTTATCAAACTATTAAATTAAGAAAAAAATAATAAATTTACAGGCTTCATTATCCAAAGTTACTTTTGTTCATTCAGTTAATTATGTTTTTTAAATTCTTCACAAAACAAGGAATATTCTAATGGAAGTTAATAAGTTAAAGGGATAAAATCATATCTAATATAAATAAATTTTCAATTAGGAATTAATTTTTAAAAAATACTATAATAATTCTTCGGTTTTTCCTTCTTTTTCAAGTTACTTTTTATGCTTTTTTATATTTCTCGTTAATAGATCTTTTCTTGTTAACTATATAATATTAGATTAAAAATAAATTAATATAACATTTATTTACTTTTGAATACTTCATAATGATTTCTATAATGATTAACTTTTTGTTAATAACCTATTTGAGTATAATCCATTTAGTCTATTATCCATTCTTTTTCAGCCCAAATGATGTCCCATTCATTTCCATCTGATTCTCTCCATTGTCTTTTTTTTAACGCCTCCAATATACAATTTTTAAATGTCGTTTTGAATTTAATTTAATTTCTATTATTTATGTATTTTATTTGATACTTTATTTATTTATAATTTTTACGGGTGGATAGGATAATTTTCTTTTTTTATATATTTTCTAAAATATTCAGACATTGATCTTTTTTTCTTGTATATTTTTTTTATTAAAAATTCTAATTTAAAAAAAAATATGAAATTAAATAATTTATATTTTATTGACTTTTTTCTTATTATAAATAAAAGATCAAAAATAAGAAAAAAATCTAAATTAATTTTTAATATAGATTTTCTTAATTATAAAAAACTAGTTTTTTAATTAATATAAACATATAATATTTAAAAAGTATCAAATTAATTATTTTTTAGAAATTTAAGAGATTCTATGTTTTTTAGAATGTATATTATTATTTTTGACATTATTAGATAAATCCAATTAAAAAACTTTTATTCCATTTATAGAGGCACATCTTTTTTGTGTAATTTATTTTTATTAGCTAATACTTAAATTATTGTTACTTAAATTAAAATTACTTTTATTATTACTCAAACTATTAAAACTGAACTAAAATTAATTTTTAATAAAATGTTAAGTTGATTTATTATGTAAAGATTAACTTTAATATTAATTATTTTATAAATCTTAAAAACATTATTTTTATTTATTACTAAAATTTTATTTATATTATGTTTAGCTTTATAAATAATTAATTTACATCGGGTTTAGTTTATATTCATCATTATTATCTTCAAACCTTCTTTTGTAAATTTATTAAAATATGTTTAAAGTTTAAGCATTTATATTAAGTTTACTTTAAAGTTTTTAAGTTTATAAATAGTTTTATTATACTTTATTTAAATTTTTCAATTTTAATAATTTTTCTTATATTTCTTAAGCTTAATTAACAGCTTCCTAATTCTAGTGTATTTTAAATTATTAATTATCTAACTATTAGTCTTTTTTTTATTATTATAAATTGTTTAACTTCTCAAGTATTTATTATTTTATAGGAATACTCTCCTAAAACATTTATAAATCTTTTAATTATTATTATTATTATTATTAATAATTATTTTAATTATCTTTTTAATAATCATTCAATTCCGAATTAATTACATACTTACTTCCACGAGAATACATGTATTGATTATTATTATTATTTATATTAATATTATTATCATTATCACTTATTATAAAACTTTTTTTTTTTTTTTATAAAGTCTTTGATTTTTATTAGTCAGATTTGTTTTCAAACTATTAATAAAAATATGTTTCTTTTTATGGTGATTAGAAACTAACATATTTTTAATATTATTATTTATTGGCTTGCTTTTGAGGAGATTAGTTATTCAATTATTTTTTAGGTGATTAAAAATTTTAATATTTAGTAGGTGATATTAACACATTGCTTGATGTTACCTCTTTATTTAAATTTTCAATTTCTTAATTATTTGATTTAGAAATACTTTTATTAAAACTTTTTTTTTCTTAAACTTATTCCTATTCTTATTTAGTATATTAAATAGGCATTTTTAAAATATCTAAATCCAAATTAGTTCTTGATTTTCTATGTTTTATATCACTTCCTACTAAATATTAAGAGTAAGATTTTAATTATTCCTTTATATTCTTTTGTTTCTTTTTAAAATTCTCCGACTTTATTTTCAACAAATCATAAATATATTAAGATGTAGATTTGTCATTTAAAACTTTGTTTATAAACTAATCTCTTCTAATCATTAATAATTCTCCTTTTATCGAATAACACTTGACTCCAAAACTTCTCTTTTAATTTTTTATTATATCTTCTTCTCCAAATAATTCATTTTTTCCTAATATCGATAACTAATTATAAATAATATATAAATTATATATATAAATATAATAGTTACTGTCATCATTTTCTTATCTTATTTTTAAATATTTTTATTTAATTCATTAAAATTTTAATTTTGTGAATATATTTAATAGTTATTATCTTTTTATTCGAATTTTTAAAAAGTCTAAACAAAATAATATATATAAAATATGAATTAAAGTATAAATATTTTTACAATATATTCACCACTTTTAACAATATAAACAGAATCACAATTATCTCCTTACTAAAACACAATGTCATTTTTTAAAAAAGACATTTAAAATGTATTTAAATAAATATCTCTAATAATATTAAAACTTTGATTTTAGAATATAGGTAAATCTCTTAAATAATTAATTTCTTTGATTAAATTATTTTCTTCTTATTCTCTTAAAATATTTTTAAATTTTTATTTTGATAAAATTGCTAAATCTGCATTATGTTCAAGATTTATTATTGATGCCAATCTCGGTGTATTATAAATTAAAGATAGTTCACCAAATCCACTTCCACTTTCAAGGTATTTAACACATTTTATATGATTATTTTATTAACTATCTTATTTTTTATCTTAATTATTTTGCGTATTCATATATCTCATATTTATATATACCCCTAATATTCCTTCTAAAATTAAGTAAAACTTATCTCCTATTGAACCTATATTTCAAATAAATGTTTTTTATTTTTTTAAAATAAATAAAACTACCTTATTCAAATATTACCTAATTAGATTTAGCATTTTCATATGTCATATTTTAAATACATTCATAATGAATTTATTCTTAACCATTTTATGCATATTTTTAAAAAAAAGGAATTTGCTTTGTGGCTATAACTATTTCTTCTGTTTATTGTTTAGATCTTTTATTGTTTGGAGTTTTGAAATATTAAATAACGTTCTTAATATCAAAAAAAAAAAAAAAAATGTAAACTTTCATAATATTTAATTATTAAATTTTTTTATATTGTTTTAAAACTTTTTCATATATATAATTTTTTTTTTTTCTTACATCTAATGTTGGGAATATTTATTTTATTTTTTATGGTTTATGAATCATTTTTTTATTTTTATAAATAATATTAGAGGCGGTATTTTTTTATTTTTTTTAATTAATAATATTTACCTTTAGAATAAATGAAAATATAAATTTAATTTAATAATAAAATTTAATGCACGAATATGCTAAAACAATAAATTAGTAAATATAAAAAGTTAATTTATTGGAAAAAAAAAGATAAAACAAAGATTTTATTAACTTTTTAATTTTTTAATTTATAAAAATTAAAAATTGGCCAAAATATTTTTTCTTAACACTATAAAATAGCATTTTATTTTGACTTGATATAATAATATTAATAATTAATAAATTAAATATATTTACTGTTTAATTATTTTAAATATAAATCTTATTAATTATTTATTTTTATTTTTATTTTTAAATTTTGTTCAAAATATTTTAAAAATAAATTTTATACTAATATTTATTATAATTTATGTTTTTAATAATTTTAATTAATTAATTTATCGATTTATTTATATATATAAAACTAATTTTATATGAAATTAACATAGATTTAAAATTAAAATAATATTTTAATATAAAATGAAAATATTAACAAATTTTTTATTTTACTAATTATTAAAAATATTTCTAATATTAAAAATTATTTATACTTAATAAGAAAATGATGAAATAAACATATATATTTAGGATCCTTTATTATAGAAACAATTCCATAATAAATAACTAACTTAAATCATAACACATAGTTTTTATTAAAACAATATATTTTTAGTTTTTGAAAATGAAATGCTTTAAATATACGATGACCGTATTTATGAATTATAAACTGAGGTAATTTTGAAAATATTATCTTTATAAATATCCCAAAAAGGGTAAATATATGCAAACTTAGGCTAAAATGGTGGAATTTAACTGCTTCATTTTCAAAACTAAAAATTTATGTATTCATAAATAGTAAATAAATAAAATTTCGAAATAGATTTTTTCTAAATATCTTAAGATAATAATTACATATTTATATGTTCTTATTCCTAATTTTTAATATTAGAATTAAATGAATACTAATAATTTAATCAAAATATAGTTTATAAATATGGATAAGAATACTAATTTTTAAAAAAGCATACTTTGGGTTTTTTTGTTTCAAATAATTTTGTTTTTTTATGTAATTAGGATTTAGGTTTGTTTATTTATAATATAAAATATATATATGAAACAAACATATTTTAAATTTATAATGGTTTGAATTTGACATAAATTCATTTTATTGAAGATAATTAAATATTATATGGAATAAGCCCAGATACCTAATGCATAAAAATAATAGACATAAAAATGATGGTAAAATATTAAACTAAATATGTTCTTAAGAGAAGAAATTATAGGCTCATTCTATATTGATTATTATTAAAAAATGCTTTTAATTGGGATTTAGACATAAGGTATATTTATTTATAGAATAGAAAACGAAAAATCTTATTTAAACTAATTTATTCCAATATTTAACTTTGTAATACATCTAAATATGAAACTAAACAGGGGACTCATTTATTTCGGTGATGCATAAAATTTAATGATTTTCGAAAGCTAAAAATTAAGTAGTCTTTAACAATAGTAGTAAAACGACTAAAACTCTATTAATATTTATAATAAACATTAATGTTTTCTAACCGTTGATATTTAAGATGAATATCCCTATTAAAGTTAAATTGATGAAGATGGTTCTTTTTTATTTATAGCAGCAGGTTTCCAAGGATTACTTGTATATGATCTTAGGGATATTTACTTTCCAAAATAAATCTTCAGTAAGGCAAAACACAATGTATCACATGATACTTTACTTTATTTATAAAAAAAGTAAATTTTAATAGTTGGATAGTCTGAACAAGGTATGATTTTTTACAAAATCAATAAACAAGAAGACCAAAAAATATAAATAATTGAAATTAAAGAGTTTAAATTAGAAGATGTAGCTAATGATTGTGACGATTTAACTTCTAATGATTAGGAAAATATTATAGTTTGCGCAAATGGGATATAAGGTTTTTATGCTATTAACATTTACGATATCCAAAATATATATGAAGTCGGAAGATTTAATATACAATCTATTTCTACAGGAGTAGAAAGTGTAGTTTTTAATAATTAATTTACTAAAGGATTTTATGCAATAAGAGGAGAAGGAGTTGGTTATTTTAAAATATAAAAAAAAGACACAAAAAATTTCGAATTTAAATTTGTTGAATTTTTTTACACTTATGGAGCTGAATATATCAGGTTTGATAATAAAAATTAGAATATTGTATATGTAGCTGACGGATTAAATGGAATTACAATATATAAATGTGTTGATTTAGATAATGTTTATTTATTTAAAAGAATTTTTATAAATGGTTGGGCTATAAAATTTACTTAAACAAGCTTTAAAGATAATATGTTGATAGTAGTTTAAATGGGAAAAGGTTAAGTTTCTTTGATTGATTTGATTTAATATAGAAAAGTTTCTTAATTATAATTTGGTTAATAATAAAATGCTTACTCTATTGTTTTTCATCCCAAAAACCATTTTTTTATATATACTGTTCCTAAAGGATTTAGAATATGTTTTTCTAAAAATCCTATTTAAATTCATACTCATATAAAAAATGATGGTATTTATTAAACGAATTTTGAACTTTTTGTTGGATAAAATGTAGAATTTAAATTTTCTCCTCTTTTTATAGAAAAATAAATTTGGATTAGTTAAATTTTTTTGTATAAGAATTTCTAAATTATTAAAACTCCTGACTATTATAATTTAGATTCTTTCTAAAATCTAGTTAATATGTATGTTGATAAAACATCTATTGATATTGATTCTGAAGGAATTAATATAATTTTACTTTTGATTAAAATTGAATTAAATGCTGATGATTTTAATAATTAAAAGTTAAATTTAATTGGTAAAAATCTATTTAATTAATTAGTAAATTTTTTTTTTTTTAAATATTTTTTTTTATTTATATAAAAGTAATAATATAATTATATTGATGAAAATGGATTTATTTCTAATTCTTTTACTCCATTCAAGGAATTTTAAAGTTAATTTTAAAGTTATCTTAAGGAATTATATAATTAGGAAGTTTATAATTTTATAAATACTATATTGAGTAGAAGTATATTTTTTTATCCAATTAAATTTTATGTTCATCCTTCTTTATCTTTCAATATTAACTAATAAGAAAATACCGTGATAAGTTCATAAACTTAAATAAAAATTTAGCTTGAAGTATTTAATAATTATCAGGAACCACCTCATTTTTTAGTGAAAAAATATCAAGAAGAAGAAGTAGTTTTATCTTTGGTTAAAAATAATACTTATTTATCGATATAAGGCGATAAATAAAAAATAAATAATATATTGAATGGATAAATATTAATATCTTAATATATAGAAAATTCATGTGTTAATGTAAAGATACAGGATGAAATAAATAATGATTATACATATACTTTTAAACTAGATTAAATGAAAATTTTATAAATAAAAGAGAGCCTAAAAATATAATATCCATTTTAAAAACAATATGAAGAATAATATCCTGAAGGTCTAATTGTAGAAACATAATAAACAATAAAATTTTAATTTAACTTTAAATAAAATAGATTATATAATATTAAATTAAATATTAGTGTAAGTAAAATTGAAATAAATTATTAAAAAATAAAATAAATAAATAAATAAAAAAAAGGTTTCTTCTAATATTAATAATATTGAAGTTATTGAAAATGAACTTTATTATATGGTTATTATTAAAGGAGAGTTAAATAATTATAAAAAAACATTTAATATTTAATTTCTTATCAATGATGATTATGAATAAATCAAAGAAAATATTTAAGTAACTTTTTCTAAAATTCCTATAAAAATAATTTTGAGATATTTGCTTGCTTTGATAATCACTTTAACAATTATTATATTTTTATTTCTTTTTAGAAAATTTATTCATTAATACTTTTATAAAGAACTTTACACTTATAAAGAGATAAACCTTAACTATGAAGATATCCTGTATAAAAAAATAATACTTTTTCCTCATATATATAAAAATATAACTTTGCTTTTTAAATAATTGAATAAAAAAGAATTTGATAAAATTTAAAATTTAGATGATTTTATTGAAAAAATGCTTAAAATTTATTAAAAATAACCTGAGATATATTAATTTATTAACGAGTTCGATTTTATAAATAAATAATCAAGACTTTATCACGGTTTTTATAGTATCTATATTTAAGAAAAGCTTAAAAAGAACTTAATAATTTTATAAATATATAAGTAATTTAAAAAAAATTCTTAAAAATAATATAAGAATGTTGATTGGTATAAAGTATATAAAATCAAAAAAAATATTTATATATAAATTTACACATAAATTAATTTACTTTTGGATAAAGGAATTTATATCTAATTAATATGAATTTTAATCATTTTAATACAAATTTTTATCAAAAAATGATTCAGAAACGTAAAAAAGAGAAAGCCATTAAATTTTTAAAAGAGTAACAATAACATAATAATCAATATATCTATCTTCTTAAGAATACTAAAAAAGCTTAATTCAAGAAGATCTATTCGGAAAAATAAATATTAATACAGATTTAATAGAAACCAAAATTATGCTATAGTAAGTATCTCATTAAATATATTAAGAGAACGAAAACTTATTAAATGAAGCTTTGAAAGCAGAATTTTATGGATTCGATATTGATTAAAAACCTTCTTTTTAAAAATCTTCAATAGGAGAAGTTATTCATTTAGGAGAAAAAGATATTTAAGAAATAAGATCATTTTTCAAATCTAAACGTGAAACTGTTAATTAAAAAGTATTTATTTAGAAATTTAGAAATTTTTTTAATTTAGATTTTTAGAGAGTATATTCAAATAAAAATGGATTTAATCTACCGAATTGGATTTCTTTAGAAATTGTTGATAATACTTTTATTTTTACAGGTATTCCAAAAAAATAAAATAAAGGATAATATTTAATTTAGTTAATTAATTCTAAAGGATATATATGTTACTAATTCAATATTAATGTCTTTAATTAGAGTAAAAAAAATGCAAAAACACAAAATTAAATTTCTAATAATATATAATGATTAAAAAAAAAAAAATTAATATATTTGTGAACTTATTATTGTTTATATGATAAATATTTTTATTATAATTTAAATTAATAATATTAGGTTTAAATTTAATACAAAATAAAATTTATTAAATATGAAAAAAATATATTTAAGCAATGTTTTAGGTATTAATTATTCAAATTCTTTTTTTTTGTCTCTTTTAAATAATATTTATATAAAAATATGAATTATTAACTATAAAAAAATTTAATTTTTAAAATAAAAAAATATTTTAAAATTTTCAAATAAGAAGTCTATAAAAATCTTTATTTTTTTAAAAAAAATTAATTAATAAAATACATTTTCAATATAAAATATTTACAATTTCTAACAAAAAAATAAAAAAAAAAATGCGAAAAGTATTAATTATATTCTTCATTATTTTATAAATTTCAATATAAATAAGTATATAAAATTCATTCGAAAATCTAATTTAATAAGAATTTTTAGATTTAAATATGTATTTAACTAATTAATTAGATAATTAAAATAACTAAAAAGTTGAACCAATAATATAAAAAATATAATAAGATTCTAAATAATATATATTATCGTAAACATCAATTAGATAATAACTAGAAAATGACCAATAAATCAATACAAATATTAAAAATATAGATTCTGACAGTATTTTCGATTAATAAAAAAAATAATAGCAGCCATAAGAAATATAAGATATTTCGGACTAAATATTAAATAAAATGAAAAATTAATCAAAAACCTAGGTAGCTTAATAAGAATAAATTCCTTTAAAATAACAAAATTCTCAAGGTTCATATTCATCAGAAAAAAATGAAGAATAATAAAACGATTTTGAAAAATAATCAAACTAAAATTCAGAAGAATTAGCAAACTAAGAAAAATAAGAAGATGTATAATTAATGAAAGAAATAAACGATTTAATGAATTCAAAAAGCGAATAATAAGAAATAGAAGAATAAATAATTCCCCAAAATTGTAATTTAAATGGATATTTCGATCCAAACGAAGGAATAATGAATTGTGATAAAGGAACAAACGATATAAGAATTGAATAATAAAAAACATAGGAATAAATAATATAAGAAATGGATAAAATGAGCTAGGCGGAAAAATCGATATATTATTGTTTGATTTTAAGTTTTTTAATTCTTATTTTGATTATTATAGTCGCCATAAGAGATTTCTTGAGTAGAAAATTAGCAAAATATTATATTAAAGCTTTAAGGATTATCACATTGGATGTTATTATTCTCGTTAGTATGAACGGGATTATCCAAATACTTTATTATAATAAGTTTTTGGATATTATATAAAAATAATATTTTAATATTTATGCTTTTTCAATTAGTTTTTCTCTTTTTGCAATTTTTTGGGTTTTATTAGCTATTATTTATGCTTTTATATTGTAATCATTTAGTAATTAATATTATTCTTACGAGAAAAACTGGCCAAAAAGAAACAATTTATTGACTAATTTTGAAGAATTAAATGATCAAGGATATGAAGAGATGATAAAAAATATGCATTATTTTATAATAAAGGAAGATTTTGTAATGCCAATTTCTCACTTAACATATTTAGAGCCTATGGTCCTCCGTTAAGATTTTAATTTTGCAGAATATTTAGGAAGAGTGTAAGCAAAAAGCCTATTGAATATTTTTACTATTAATTTGGTTTCATTTCTTGTTTTAATTTTTTTCTTATTAAGCATTTATTTAATAAACATGCTAAAAAACTGGCTAATAGAAAATATAATTTTAATTGTAATTTTAATAATTATAATAATAATGTCCCTAAACTAAAATAAAATCCAACTCTAAATCACTAAACAAATTCTAGTATATAATCTAAACGACGAAATTTTATATAATTTTAAATTTCTAAATCTCAATGAGAATGAAAAAAATATAAACTTTAAATCAAAAATAGTATACCCTTTCTATTTACAAGGAAGGCATAAATACTTAGAAAAAAATGTTTCTAGACATGAAGTTTAATTTCCTTTTTCGGCTCTTTATTTTCCTATTAGATTAATGCATTTATGTCTTATTTTGAGTATTATTTGGTTGCTTATTTTCGTTTTTGTTTATATAAAATTTATTTTGGAGGAGATTTTTTGTTAATTTTTTTTCGCTTTTGGATTGTTTCTTATTCTTTTTAATATATTTTTCGTTTTTCCTAATTTTCTAAGGAAATATTCCATAAACTCAAATGTATAATAATTAAAAGACATCGAAATTATTGAAAAAGTAGTTTTTTAATAAAAAAAATAAATCTTCATTTCATTCTCTAAATTTTATAGATTCTTAAAACATTATTACAGAATTAATTATTAAGTAAGAAAAGACGAAACATTAGTTTATAGATAAATAATAGTTGATCAAATATAATAATTATTTTAACAAAACTCTGGAATAAATCTCGATATAATATAAATTTCACAAAAATTAGGCTTTCTTCAAATAGAAGATGAAGAACTGTATTATTTATAAGAAGCAGCTTTAATAAAAAGCTAAAAATAAACAGATTTGTAATAAATTAAAACTATGAATGGTTTTGCATCTCGAATTTCTTTAAATTCAGATGACATAGATTAAAAAAATTATATTCCTCCTTTTTAATTATAATAATAATCTTAATCTCATAGCTAAGTCGAACTTTTTGATGAAAATAAAAGCAATGAAAAAGAAAAAAATAATAATATTGATTAATAAGAAGTTTTATAAGAGCTTGAAAATAAAAAAGATAATTAATAATAAAAAGAAAATGATAAAAAAAATATACCTATAGTCGAATTTTAAATTTAAAATATTTTATAAGCCTGTTAAATTTTTACTGAAGAAGTTAAATTCGATCCTTACTATATATCATATTAAATTCTTTTTTCTATTTTTGAAGGTAACTCTAAAATAAGTGTTTAAATGTTTTAATAGACAATAAAAGAAATTCAAAAAACTATTGAAAAATAAGATATTGATATTATTTTCAATGAGATTTTCTATTTAGCTGATTAAAATTAAGAAGTTGATATCAAATAAATTGCTTCTTTAATTAGAGACTCTATTGAGAATTTACCTAGATGATATAAAACATGATTTTTATATAGGATATTTTTAAATAAAAATAAATTAATAATTTTATATTTTTGATTTTTTTATTTTTTACTTTAAAAAATTATTTTTAGATTGATAATATTTTTTATTTTTGTTTGTTTGTATTTACTTAATATTTTTTTATTATTTATTGATATTAAATAAGCTTATATTTAAATTATATTAATCAAAAACGAATAATTATATTCTATTTTCGTTATATATAATATAAATTAAATATTAAACCAAATCTTATCTACTTTTTTACTTTATCGAATTTTATGTTATTTTTTTTTTATTACTTCAATAATTATTTAGAATTAAAAAAAACCTATATATGGTTTTATTTTTTAGAATATTTTATTTTTAATAATTTTTTTTTTTTATTAATTTTAGATTTATAGAAAAATTAAGTAAAATTATATAAATTCATTAATAAAATTTAAAAATTTGTGGATTTTAATCACTAAATAATTTTTTTAGATATGCTTAAAATACTTGATATCTATTATAA